GTTAGATTGATCCATAGTTTAAATACACACAGGGACACACAATCGGAGAAGCACAGGGTTTATATACACACAGTGACACACAACCAGAGGAGCACAAGGTTTATATACACACAGGGATACACAACCAGAGGAGCACAGGGTTTTATATACACACAGTGACACACAATCAGAGGAGCACAGGGTTTTATATACACACAGTGACACACAGCCAGAGGAGCACAGGGTTTATATACACACAGTGACACACAATCAGAGGAGCACAGGGTTTATATACACACAGTGACTCACAACCAGAGGAGCACAGGGTTTATATACACACAGTGACACACAACCAGAGGAGCACAGGGTTTATATACACACAGTGACACACAACCAGAGGAGCACAGGGTTTATATACACACAGTGACACACAATCAGAGGAGCACAGGGTTTATATACACACAGGGATACACAACCAGAGGAGCACAGGGTTTATATACACACAGTGACACACAACCAGAGGAGCACAGGGTTTTATATACACACAGGGATACACAACCAGAGGAGCACAGGGTTTTATATACACACAGGGATACACAACCAGAGGAGCACACGGTTTTATATACACACAGTGACACACAACCAGAGGAGCACAGGGTTTTATATACACACAGGGATACACAACCAGAGGAGCACAGGGTTTTATATACACACAGGGACACACAACCAGAGGAGCACATGGTTTATATACACACAGGGACACACAACCAGAGGAGCACAGGGTTTTATATACACACAGGGACACACAACCAGAGGAGCACAGGGTTTTATATACACACAGGGACACACAGGTGAAATACATGAGGGCGGGACAGGCAACAGAACAGAAATGAAGCAACACTAAAACAAACCAATATCAAAATAAAACCAGGTAAAAGCCATCAAAAAGTCCACACCAAGACAGATTTAGGGCAGTACAAAAATAAATGGAATTATTATTTTTTGCAACATCGCAGAGCCCTGAGCCTCCTCACAGATCTGTTGCAGAGTGGTTTGCCCTTAGAGGGTCTGTAAGGAAGAGTGCAATACAACCCATGTGGACTATAGTCTGCTGTTAAGATTACCACATCATAACCTGGTCTTACCGTACCTTCGTACTAATTTCATTTCGTACAGAGAGCTGGATTTTCTCCATTGAGCTCCATTAACGGCTCAATGGAGCAAACGGAGATTACTTCTTTTGCAGATTGAAACGGTAGGATCTGAGTTTACATATCTGGCGGTGACGTATGTAATATGAGTGAGTGAGGCATTTAGCATTTAGCCTAGCATCTCCTTTCCCACTAACGGAGCCCGTGGGGAGAAGAGCCACAACATCTTTACCAGCAATGACATTTGCAAAACATTCCCCTTGCTCCGGCTTCAATTTCTTGATATTTGGAGCTTAACCAAAACAGATCCCTTTACTATTGCATTCGCCGCTATTGCTAAACTACAACCAGCAAATTTAGTGAATGGTCGGAGGGGATTCAACCGAGGTAACTGCAGCCACTAGGATCAGACCCTGATGTACATGCAGGGAAATGATAACTGACCAGAGTTTACAGATGGCTCAGACCAGGCTGACACCATTAGGGCAGGGCGATATGATTAAGTTTGCGTTAACATAAGTATACTTTTGAGGAACAGTATGAAATTCAAATCACAGCAGTCGTCTCAGCACACTTTATAAAGTTGTCAATTTACCAAAAAACAGATTCAAAAACAGGGTTCTTATTAAATCCCAAGTCGGATATTGTAACCAGGTTGTATCGACACCATTCAAATCCAATTCTGTCTTTGGCTTTGCTGGGAAAGGAAACTAACCACGAGAAAAAAATTACAAATGGTCTGTAACAAAACACAATACACACAAGGCAAGTTTATTTCTATAGCACAATTCATACCCAAGGCATAAATAATCACAGTACATAAAAAAGATACACATAAAATCTCTCAGTTGTAGCAAAGCTAAACAGAACTGTCTTTAACCTGCTTTTAAACATTATCAGAGAAGAGGCCTGTCTCACATTTTCAGAAAGACTGTTCCAGATTTTAGCTGCAGGAATCTGAAATGCAGCCTCCCCATGTTAGTTCTGACTCTGGGCACTAATGTGTTATGTTTGTGTTGGATTTGAACCCACAGATCAGCTTTAATATGCACATTGAAAACAGTCCTTGACATATTGAAAACCGGCAGAACCAGTAAAACCAGGGGAGAGGAATGCTGTCAACAGACACTGGGAGCATCACAGGAACTAGCATTAGCACTTTACACTTTACAAATAGTGAAGTGCTGGGATTTTTAGCAGCGTGGGATTATTATGTCCCCCAGCGCACCCCCAGCTTCAGTCTTTGTTCTTTTGTCGCTTGTTTGAAGTTGACAAGATGCCAGTCTCTTTGACAAACACGTAACACACCTTGTTTTTGAACGCATCGCGACGACACATCACACAGATGACAATAACAGAATAAAACAAAAGCGCAAAAGTGGGGAAATGTCAGTGTTGCATCACCAGTTACAGACAGTAGGAATGAGGATAATAACAATAACTCTATACTAAAATGAAGCAACATTTCTACCTCTAGCATAATAAAGGAGCAAGTTTAAAATCTCTAACTTTAGCATAAAAATAAGTATAAAATCTCTAACACACACAAACACTCGAACCAGATTAAAATCCTCCTTTCCTTTTTTCCTTATTGGTATGAATCTTATTTAAATATTGATTAGCGCTACTTCTGTATAATCAATTTCCTCCAGACTAAAAGGACTACATTAAAGGTACACTATGAACAACAAACAACCCGCTCCTGAAGCTGCACAAAGACAAAGAGACCAGAGCTCATTCAGATGTAGAGAGTTTAGCACAGAGACCTGCACTAACCAGGGGAGACTGTAATGTACAAAGGCACAGGACGGCACCATTCAGCCAAATGGTGGCGTCCATCAGAGGCGCAACCAGTGGAGGCGGGCCCCAGCTCAAAAGTGGCCAAAATGATGGGCGCTGAAATGCTTGCAATACCAACCCTAGCCAGTTGGCTGGACCCGGAAAGGGAATTATTCAGTGCAAATGTACGTATCTTCTGACCTCTCAAAAACATCTTTACTGGCTGGTCCAAAAGTTGGCTCTTGGTCCAAAGCTCCGTTCCACATGTGTGTCAATGCTGAGCGGAGTGGATTTTTTTGAACCAGTCTTGTTTACTCGCTGTGAGTTTTTGAAGTCACTCGTTTAAATGAATGTGGCTCTTGCACATTTTCCAGCCCCCGCGGCCATTTTGAATCACTCCATGAGAGCCCAATTTTTGGCCCATTAGTTAGAACAGCGGAGATAGGCGTGACTACGTCGGTTAATATTACAGTCTATGGCCACAACATTATGTAATGGATCGAAACTGTGGAATCTACCTAACATTTAAAGGAGTCCTGAAACATTGGATGAAATCACGCTCCCATAAATGATGTCCTGCTCTTAATTGGACTTTCTCTTTCTCTTCTCTTTTAAATTCTGTCTTTGTGCGTGTTTGTACTGTTGCCTAACCGCAGGTTTTTATGTTTGTGCCTGCCTTAGGAAAATAGATGCAATTTAGCTATTGTGTGCTAACCCCTACATATTTATGTTGACGCTATTTTCCGGCACAATGATTAATATGTACTATCCTAAATTCAAATAAATAAATGCAGTGGTCTATTACAAACCAGGTAAAAAGAAGCGTTTCCGTGTGTGACATTAGCATTCCAGAGCGCAGGGTTGGACAGTGGAAGCCAACCTCCTGGAACCAGCTGCTTATTTGAGATGAAAAGCTAGTGCATTTGTTCCCCGTGGACACACACACAGATGAAATCAATATGTAATGGTCTGTGACATGCATATACATCAGGCTTTCTGAGACGTCCAAACAGGAATGCCCACACTGACCCAAAAGGCACGTTTCTTATCTGCATTTGCACACGGCTCTACATCGCTGGTGCTATTATACGCTTGGTATGAAGTATAGTGTAATGCCAATGGATAATTATCTGTATTAACCCTTCAAGGATCCAATATACTTGGACTGGAACGAAGTGGATTTTGCTGTAAGGTGTTTTGTTGTTAGCCAATTACTTAAATATAACCATCCCAATTCAGATCCTTGAAGCCTGTCGTCATTGGTTTAGCTGTGCTCCTCTAGGAAATCTTACCCAGCGTAGTTATCCACTGTTGAATTCAATTCAATTTATTTTTATATCGCCTTAAATGACAACAGTAGTTATCTCAGAGGACTGCAAAACCTTTGAATTTGCAAACACAGATCAGAAAATCAAAATGTTCAAACGCAGTAAATGCAATATGAAAAAACACATAGAGCCATTGGTACATAAAAGACAGATGTCCAAAAAATTTGGTTGAATGTCGAGTGTCATATCATTGTGGGAAAATACTTTCTCTACACACCAGTGCATGGCCTGAAGTATACAATTGTTTAAAATTAAATACTATAAAGTTTATAGGGATTTTAAATGTTTTTTTCCTGAGGCTTTTTGCTGTATCACAGGTGCCTACATCTCAATTCCTCAGCTGTTAAAGTGGAATAAAAAAAAAAAAAAACCTGTATTTGCATTAGTTTATTTTCTAGTTGGTCTGGATTCTATCACAATTGGGCCAAATAACAATAAGAGATGTATTGGAAGACTGATAGTTGAATGATAATAATTATTAAATAACTATATCTTGTAACTATATTTTAGAGTAGAAATCTGTACAATGATGGTTGTTTTCATGAGACAATAGGCTTAAAAATGAAGTTCAACATGCTATAGTATTCAATTCAATGCTGTACTGTAAGTTACTGCAATTTCAGGGGCCACTCACAATTGTCTCGCAGGACAGACTTGGCCCACGGGCCTAGGTTTGAGATGCCTGTTCCATCTGTTTTTTATCATTGTGTTTTCTGTCTAAATTTAATTGAATTTTCTCTTTCAGATTTCCCCATTGCACAAGATGGAGCTCTTTTTGAAAATTACCACAACGCTTCTTCTCCTGGTCCTCCCTCTTCACCTCGTGCACGTCCAGGAGGTTCCAGGCACCACAGAATCTCCAAGACGGACCATCAATAAGGACTGGTTACGGAAACTCCCTACCAAACAAACAGTGGTCACTGACTGGTCCTCAAGCGGAGACCAAGCAATGGAAGAAAGTGGTCAAGAATCAGGAACTGCTTCTGGATCTATGGTCATCGAAGAGGATAACAACAATACTTCGGAAAACACAACCCAAACCATTCCAAGCGAGACTACATTGTCACCGGAGAGTGAAGAAGAAAACAGTACCACAACTTTTCCAAACGTCAACCTCACAGAGGAAGAGGAGAATGTCACGGACAGCCAGGAAAACCCACAGAACTCCACAATGAATACTACAGATGCCACAGATGCTACAGATGCTACAGATGCCACAGATGCTACAGATGCTACAGATGCTACAGATGCCACAGATGCCACGGATGCCACAGATACAACAATCCCACCATCCACCACTTTGGCCCCAGAGACGATTAGCACCACGGCTGGATCTGGAAGCGGATCGGACGATAAAACTGAGAATACCATGACGACAGCCATTCCGGGGGTGGTACAGGAGTCGACCACACAAGGAGAAGGGACTGTCTCTCAGGAACCAACCACCGCTGCTGCGCCGGGAACCAGACCACCTTCAAAATCTTCTACAACTGTTTTGGAGGTTACAACGTTTGCTCCTATCACACCGGACCGTGCCAATTTATCAGACAAGGGCGCAATAGCAGAAAGTGGAACTGAAGATAGAGGTGAGAGCAAGACCTTAAACAGATTGTTGAAGTTGGAAGAGCTGAGGCGGCTCCAACCTAAACACGATGCATTGTTTGTGTACAAATACAATTGGTGCACGTCTGCAGTTTTGATGCCTTTCTGTGAAGCCTTTGAGGTCATAAACACAAGATCAGTGTCATCCAGCCAACTTCCGCTCATTTCGATTTAACTAAGCAGGGCAAGTTCTGGTTAGTGAGGCGGCTGTGGCTGTAAAGTGTCCTTAGGCAAGACACCTCACCCACAGAAGTATGAGTCTGGTGTGTGGTTGAGGGTGGTGGGAAGGGCTGATAGTATGGACTGGTTGCCTCGCTTCTGTTTGTGTGCCCCAGGGCAGCTGTGGCTTCAATAGTTTATCATTGCTTTGTATGGAGTGAAAGAATAATGACAAGTGCAGGGTCATGTGAGTGTCTGTATGAAACAAATGCATATTGTTTGTGGTTCTTCATATTCCACCAAAGTAGCTGGTGAGAATTTGAATCAACAAGGTCAAACTCATGCTTTTAAGGTCAACTCGTTTTTAATCTCAAAAGAATACAGCCACAGACTGGTTCACTAAAGTGGCCACTCCTGGTCTAAAGTGAAAAAACTGTTGATACTTGTTTCACGGCAAGAAGGTCGTGGGTTACATCCCATGTCAGCCTGAGTCTTTCTGTCTGGAGTTTGAATGTCTCTACCCATGTCCGGGTGGGTTTCCTCCAGGTGCTCTAGTTTTCTCCAATCAGCCAGAACATGTAATCATCACTGCTCCTGACTAGTTGCTCTCATGGCATTGACGGAAGGGTCAAATGCAGATGCCAAAATATCCCTAAAGCAATAAGAACATACATTGTAACCTTATCGTAACCATATTTGCCTGGTATGTGTCAAGAGTGTGAGAGAATGGTCGCTGAAGGAGGTTTGTCATCACTGTGTGAAGAGAGAGTGAATTAACAATGAACTTTAGCTTACTAACATGTGCAGTACAACAGCAACAAAGGATAACACTAAAAATACTGTGAAAAGTCTGTTTTGTCTCTTTTATCACTTACACCATGCCGTTCTTTGACCCAGTGCAGTGTGACGACGAGGTCAGACCTTTTTCTCAGAACGTTTCTAAAATTAGCCTGTGAAGCAACAACACAATTCTCTGAAGAGGGACACATTTTCTCTCCCTTTTTCCGAGACTGAACTTTGTGAAACAGCCGAGTCATTGCAGGCTGAAAGTCTATCTCCCTGCAGTAACCGCACACCACACACACACGCACACACAGTCCTGTATTGTTGCGTCGCTCGCACACCCTTTCCCTGACCCATATTCCCGTTGCGTTTCCCACTGGCACAGCCCAAATGGCCTTCTGTCAATGGAATCTGGGCTCAGGTTTCGGCTGCTTTTCGTCCCGTTAGCCGCAAGCGAAGGGCCGCCTCGCCACCTCCTCCGCCGTGGGACAAAGCAGGCCTTTCTTCAGTCGAGTGGAGCAGAGAACAGAGAGAGTCCCACGACAGGTCACTGATACGGGGGCTTTCTGATGCAGGGCGTGAGAGCACTTCAGCCGGGGATGTGGAAAGGCCGAGATAGGCAGCGTTAAATGTTTACAAACTTGTCCTATGCCCGATGCACAAAAGGCGAGTTGGATCGAATAAGTGTTTAGAATGAGGTGGACCAATACAAAAGGCTTATGTCTTTGCTGTAATTGAAACAGATCCACTTTGGCAGATGCAAAAGTTGGAATAACAGTGGGACTCACTAAAATGTTGCTTTTTTGTCCAGGACAGAGAGTTATAATAATAATTTTGTTGGTAATTCTTTCTTTAAATTTCTTAGAGAGAGTCAGTTATGTTGACAGTCAGTGTTAGGCTTGAAGATGATTTGTTGTCATTAAGAAAACATATACTATATAACATTAGGACTGTTGGCAAGACTGTATGTTTAGCTTTCAGGAGATCAAGCAGGAAAATTATTCAACTCAACTCAGCAATCAAATCAATCAATCATCTATTTTACGCGCCTTACTCTGCAAAAAGTGATTAAAAATAAGCCAAAAATTGCTCAAATTTTGCAAACCGTATGATAATCTTAGCACATTAACTGATTGGTCAATAGGACAAAGCAAAAGATTTTGTTTAAAAAATATGCAATACATTTATAAATGAGGAAATCAGAATGTGCTCAGATTAAGATAAAAACGAACACTCGATTCAAGCAATTATTACCACATATTTTACCTTTTTATACAGTGTACACGTCTACACAGGTGAATATTTCATGGGAGACCTCTGCACACACCTCGTCTAAACTCTCTCCGCTCTGCATGCTCCACTCCTCTCTCTGCTTTGAAATGTGTTTACAGTGGTAGGAACATGATGAAATGATAATGCAACAACTGGACAAAGATGGCGTTTGAATTCTATTCTATTCTTCTATTTCTACAGGAAAAATGGGGTTCGCAATAATTTGGGCAAAAGGCGACAGGTCTGTCCTCTGTCTCTAACCACGATGCGTTCAATGAGCCTCTGAAATTAAGGAAATTTGATGATTAAAATACTTGTTAGTTTCTATACTACCACCAGAGGAAGGGGTTGCCTTTGTTTTGTTTTTCCTCAAATTAAAACATTTTATTTTTAAAGTCCGAAAACTGCTCTGAGTGTGATGTCAATGTGCAGGCATGTCCAAACTAAGGCCCACGAGCCAAATGGGGCCCGTTGTGTCATTGCATTTGGCCCTACACTTGCTTGCTAGCACAAACTAGCCATTGAAGCACTTTAATAGTGTCATCCAGCCAAATTCAGCTCCACAAATATAGTCATGCTGTACCTTGCAGTAAAGCTCAGAGCCTTTGAAATTCAGCCATTAACTTCAGTTGTACTTATAGACTTTTGTTTTTAATTTTGTCACAAAATGACACCAGTGTCATGATGGCATACCCCATTTTCTCTGTGCACCACTTTGGAAACATGAATGAATGGTTTATTTGGTTGATGCAAGACACATGGCATCATGTGCTATACAAATACATTTGTATTGTATTGGATGCACACTAAAACCACCCACAAACAAGGAGTGTATATGTATTCATCCACAAACTGATTAGATTAATGAACCAGCCCATTACTGATGCTTAGCTGAGCAGTAGAAATGGTTTCAGAGTTCAGAGATAAACGTTCGGAGACGATCATTATGTGAATGAGTCTGTTTATCTGTGTCTCCCTCCACAAACTCGTTACAGAATAATGTTTATGCAATCATGATTCCACAATTAACCCTCCAATCAAGCCCCACATTTGGCCAGGATTTAATCTGCAGAGCAGGGAAGAGTGGACAAATTGGAAGAGTTGAGAAATGTTTTAAAATTGTTTTGTGACGGCAGACCCTCGCGTCACCTTGGGACACAAACAAACGTACTACTGCTCCTGACAAAGGCCCCAGTGGAAATGTTCCTTACTGGGATAAATGCATGTAAATATCTTCTGCCATTTGACCCATCCTGATGCCACTAAGGCGTCTGTCAGGAGCAGTGGTTGCCGGTCTACCTATTGTGCCTATTGTGCAGGTTTTTAGAGGTAGGGTTAAAAGAGCAAGGCTTGGTCCAGCGGGAGGCTTTGAGAAGGCCAGGGAAACTGGAAATAAACCCAAAACCAAAAGATTTGTCATAAAATGAAAACTCAAAAGTCAAGTCTCAGCACCACATCTTTGTTTCGTTGCGAACCAAAGGACTTTTGAGTTCTCAAGGTTCTCAAAAATCTATGTTTTTTATCATTGCATTTCCAGTATTTGAAATGTTAAATTCTCTGATCTGTGTTGGTGACTCAACAGCTTTGTAAAGTCCTTAGAGATAAATACTGTTGTGATTTAGATCAACACAAACACAAAAGAATTGAATAGAAAAAATAAGTATTGGGAGGATTAGGAGGTTGTTTAGGAGGATTCATCTTGTTCTCTTCATAGAAATAAAAGTACTTAGTTCTTCTATAGCAGACAATAGTAGGTTAATAACAAAGGTAATAACCTCGCTCACCTACTACTGTCTGGTATAGAAGATTTTTTTATTGATAGAGTTGTTCCTTGCTAATGGAGGAGGGTCTCAACAAAATGTATGGACATTTGCCCACAGACCAATGTCTTTATGTGTTTTCTATCATTGCATTTCTTGTGTCTGAACTGTTTGATTCACTGATTTGTGTTGGCAAATTCAACGGTTTTTACCTACAAATTACTGTTGTGATTTAGGACAATAGAATAATAAATGAAGTATAATTGAAATGTGTCTTGAGGACTCTAGGAATGACATGCTTAAGAGTGAAACATAAACATGAATTGAGTTTATTTGAATAAATAAAAGAACATAAAGTGACTTCTGTCCATCCTCTGCTCAGGGTTTGTGTCCGAGGCGGAGAGGCAGCGACGGAAGGGAGCGTGGGGCGCCGTGTTGGGGACGTTCGTGGCCGTGGCCGTGGTGGGACTCGTGGCCTACGTCATCCTGAAGAAGAAGCACCACAAGGCTTTCTCTCACCGCAAACTGGAGGAGGACTTCCCCTCGGACCCAGGTCTCACACAAAGAGAGACACACACACACACAGACACACAGAGAGAGACGTACAGACACACACTCAGAGAGACAGAGACATACAGATACAGAGACACACACACACACACAACGACACATACACACACAAATACACAGACGCATACACAGAGAGACAGACACAAATACACGGACATAAAAACACACACAGACACATGCCCGCACAGACACAGAGCCATATACACATGCACACACACACATGCATTGGCACACACACGTATGAAAATCCTCATACGCTTCTAAATGTATTACTACAGATGATGTTGTTTATAATCAATAACAGAATAATTTATCAACCTATACAAACATTGATCATTACAAAATATAAAAGTGCTTAATAATTGTTAACATGTGTTTAAGATAAGAGATAAGATATTTCTTCGTCCCACAGTGGGGAAATTTCAGCATCGTCGTGGCCCACGTTACAGCAGAGAAAGAAGGAAATAAGAGCACTCCGATTGCACACATAAAACAGAGTCTAATATTTAAGATTATAGACAATAGAATAAAAATAATTAGAGAATACGATGGTGAACAAAAACTAATAATAGTAAAATAAAATAAACTCTGGCGCTCTAATTGCACTTGGTTCAGAATTGCATCTGCTCTGATAATCCACAAGTCTCTTTACCTGCTGCTATAATTACTTCTGTTTACTTGTTTTATATATTTAACCAGTAAAGTCCCATTGAGATTGAGAACCTCTTTTTCAAGGGACAAAAGGCAGCAACAGTTTCACACTATTACAGATTATAAAAGATAAGCTTTATTGAGCTCAAATCTGAGATCAATAGAGAAAAACAGTAACATGTGAATGAGGGCGTCTCACTGCTCTCTCGACTTAAAAGCATTCAATAAAATAAGTTCAGTTCATTTCCAGTTTTTTGCATTTTATTATTTTTATTTGTATGATCTTAAATACCAGATCCTGTTAATTGCAGAGCTCTTATTTTGAAATTTTTTTCCCAGAACATTAACTTAAGGACATCACAAACTGCCAATAATATGATACTGATCGTTAACGAGGCTTTGAGGAAGTCTGTGAAAGTTCTGTTCCAAAAGTGATCATAATTAATAAGCAGAGAGACCTGTCGCTTTGCACTCGTCCCTGTAGCACTCAGTTCATCTACAAATCCTCTCTAATGAAATGAATCCTGACAGTGAAACGTGTTTGGAGCCAAAACGCAAAGTGTGAAATGAACTGTAACTAAGATCTGTGCCGTCACCGCGTCAGACCAAAAACTGTCTCTGCAAATGTCACCTGCTGATTCTGAGCTGGTATTTGGGAAATGCAAATGTCTCTACCTGACATTTGCTTTTCCGCAGCTGAAAATATGACGGAAATCAATTGTCGTTTACGGAATATCGCTGTGTTTTTGACGAGGCGTCTCAGGACCTTTAGACCCGACACAGAAATAACAAGAGAGAGAGCACCGTTCGTCTCTTTCCACGAGACTTCTCAAAGCAAGATGTGTTGTTTCAGTAGCTCTGCCCTCTCCGCACATAAGAAAGTTAATCCAATGATTCCACAATTGAAAGGTCCCATAAGTCGCTCTAAGTGTGCGATAAATTGATGCTGTTAAAGTGGGTTTATTAACGTTGAACTGACAGCAGTGATACCTACATATTGTGTGTGTGTCAGAGAGCACATCTTGTTCTTGTGCTATAAATGGAGCCCAATACACACATCATTGCAACGTGTTTTTACACACACACACACACACACACACACACACACACACACACACACACACAGAGATCTCAAATAATCTAGATTTTGTTTTATGCGTGTGTAACTTACCCACTGAGGGACGTAAAAGGTGATGTGGTCTTACCTTTTGGACAGCAGCGTTCTTCCCTAAGCCCTCAGTCCTGCACCTTTCTGGTCTCTCTCTTGTCTCTCTCTGGTCTCTCTTCTGTCTGTCTCTGGTCTCTCTTTGCTCTCTCTTTGCTGTCTCTTGTCTCTCTCTGGTCTCTCTCTGCTCTCTCTTCTGTCTGTCACCTGTCTCTCTCTCTGGTCTCTCTCTGCTCTCTTTTGTCTCTCTCTGGTGTCTCTCTACTCTGTCTGGTCTCTCTCTTTTGTCTCTCTCTGCTCTCTCTTCTGTCTGTCTCCTGTGTCTCTCTCTGGTCTCTCTCTGCTCTCTCTCATGTAAGTAAGTAAGTAAGTAAGTAAGCTTTATTTATATACCGCCTTTCACAGACCAGAGTCACAAAGCGGTTTACAATTGTTATTTTTTGGGCACTAGTCTCTCACTCCACACAGAGATGGGAGCGGGGTCGCCGAACAGGAGGCGCATGCCAGACCTATTGTACATATTTTTAGTGGTAGGGGAAACCGGAGTACCCGGAGGAAACCTACGCAGACATGGGGAGAACATGCAAACTCCACTCAGAAAGGCAGAGTAGAGAGAAATGTCTCTCTACTCTGTCTGGTCTGTCTCCTGTGTCTCTCTCTGGTCTCTGTCTGCTCTTTCTGGTCTCCCTCTGCTCTCTCTCTGGTCTCTCGCCGGTCTCTTTCTGGTCTATCATAAAGCTAATTTTCTTCATGTCAAATGTCAGTATGCATAAACTGAGTGATTACTTTCTCTTAACGGTGTATGATTAGATGAGATAGACTCACAATGGAGAAAATGTCAAGAAGTGTTGGCGATATTCAAAAACATGAGCATGATGTTGACCTTTTAGAAAGAACAGAAGTAAGTAGGCAGTAATGAATGTTGTCACACGTACATGTCTATTGCAAACACCTTCATTTGGTCGGTGAAATTGCCATAACAACTCCAGTTACAGTATGTCATTGGTGAAAAAGTTTTTTTAAAAAGCAGTGTGCGTGCAGTACAAAATCTAAACATATTTATTTTTCTCTCTTTCAGTTCTGCGCCTGGACAACAGTGAGCCTTTGGACCTAAACTTTGGCAGAGCGGCCTACTACAACCCCGGACTCCAGGGGGACAACATCCAGATGAGCCCCTTCCCCAAACACTGAAGACGTGGCCTGGCTTCGGACATTGGAGCTGGAGCTGGAGCAAAGAAACTGTTGGATATGCTGTAGGGGATGTGCAGACATTTCAATGCCAGTAGAAGTGACAAGTCTGACGCAAAATGTGGCTGAAATACAAACACACTGCAAATAATGGAAAAAAAACGTTTCACAAAACATGGACAAAACTATACGGCTGTTCTGAAGTTACCTTTGAGAGACATCACAGAATGTTGGCAAGATCAACAATGGACTTCTTATCCCTACAACAAACAATTAAATTACATATATTTTAGTAAAGCCCTAAATTACAACAGAAGTTGTCTTGGAGGACTTTACAAAGCTGTCAATTTCCAACACAGATCAAAGAATCAATGATGATGATGATGATAAATGAAAACAAATAGAACCATTTTTCTATAAGGGGCAGATGACAAATGTCCATCAATGTCGTTGATTGTTGACTGTCCTGGGTCATCACCACTGTCCTTACATCCTCCTGTATCAGCAAGGATTTGAACAATAATTAGCCCCAGTTTTTGTCAAAAAACCTAAGGGTTAGGATTAGGGTCAATCCAACTATGCCACCAAGCTGTGGTCATCTACATATGAAGGTGGTCTGATGGTGTTAGCTTCATGCCAAAACAAAGCCAGACCGATTGCTAAGACAATAATAACATAAAGACCAGGATCACAGAGAGGGCTAAACCACAGATTTTGTTAATCCCAAAATAGTGTGTGTGACACAAGCCATTACTGAGCTAGAGCGAGTTGGAGCAAACCTTTATTCATGAACACTTTTCCCAAGCTTAATTGAGGGGGGAAGGGGTGGTGGGGGGGAGGAGGAGGGTTGCGGCTTGTGCTGAAGCTGTTAAATGCAGACTGAATGGCATGCTGTTATCTATCTTCTCTTCAAAAACATACAACACAAATTAAACCGAAATTGGAAACACTTTCAATCTCAAAATCTCCACCCCCTCGGAGCGTAGAGCGTGGAGGAGATGATGTCAGAGAGGAGGAGGAAGAGATGACACAAAGCAACAGTCCAAAGAGGCAAATAAGTGACTTCATTTTGAGCAGGGAATGGCTAAAACGTGACCTTGTTTTATAAAGACGATGCGGAGACACACGTCCGGACTTCCATTGTTTGCAGTGTGAGACGTAGCAGCCGTTTGAGTGTCTTGCCAAAGGTTTTTTTGTCATGTGAAGGAAGCTTAAGGCTCATTCTTACTCTTCACGGATTCGCTTGGAGGCCTCTATCATCCAAGCGAATCCGTCCATGGTTGGATGAGTGTTTGAAAGACCACCAAGCATTTTATATACTGTCTCTTTAAACCAAGGCTCCTCAAACAACTGGTGTAGCTGCAAGTTTTAGTTCAAACCAGAGCAGGAGCAGAGCAGACACCACCTATTTCCTCAAGAAAGTCTAGTTATAACCTAAAGGATTGATAGAAATAATAATAATGCATCAGTTTTATATAGCGCGCTGGACGCTCAAAGATGATTCACGTGTCAATATAAATTCACACCAAACACAGTGATAACTATTGTAGCCACACCTGCCCTGGGGCACAGTGACAGAAGCGTGGCAACCAGTATGTGCCATCAGCCTCTCCCACCACCACCAACCATTCATACACACCAGACATATTCTAAGGTGTGGGAAGTGTCTTGTCCAAAGACACAACCCCAGATTGGCACTTTACAGCCGCTCCACTGTGGCACCTGTTGTTCCCAGAGGTCTCCCATCACAGCACTAACCAGACCCTTTCCGACTTAGCTTCAGAGGTTTGACCGGATTTGAGGAAATAGGTGGAGTTTGGTGTGGTCCTGCTCGGGTTGAAACCAAAACACACTGGTCCTTTCTGGGAATTGGTTTGACACATTCTGATTTCAACGTTCTATTTCTTGTCGAGAGCTTTGATTTTGTTGTTGTTTTGCTACATTGTGCACAGACCCCATCCTTGTACAGGCCTCTTTATGCCTGGAGTCCCCGTCTCCTCTGTAATAATCAGCGTAACATAAGGCACCTTTAACAAAACCAAAACAGCTCATTTTGCACAGCCCACAGTTTAGTTTTGGCTCCGTGTTTTCCCTCAGAATAATCATGGCCGCCAGTGAATTCACAAGCAGCTTTAGCCACAATGAACAAAAAGCCAGAATGATGTCAAATTCTGCCCAGCGCTGCAGACTTCATTTTGTGTGGCGGCTGTTTTGTTATTCATAGAAAGAGGGGCTTTTCTTATTCAGCAAGATTGTGTTGTATGGGGTCCCAGCATAAACAAGTCTGTGACCCAGATACGGGTGGAGTTTGAAAGTTTGATTCGACTTTTGACAAAAGAGCTTTTATTGAAAGGTTGTTTCATAAGATGTGTTTGTGTGTGAGGGGAAAACGTCAAAGTTGGCATTTCATAATCTTTCTAAATTTAGTTTTGTTTGTGTTATTTGACAACTTATGTTGGAGAAACAGCTGAACACGGACAATCACTCAAACTGTATTCAGGTGAAACTCGTTACATATATGAATATCGAATATGAATATTGAATATCGTTAAAAAAATGCGTTTACTTCTGTAACCCAACTTACACCGTGACTCGCCAAGAGATATAGATGGGGAGGTCTGTGTCTCTGCTTAGACTGCTGCCCCTGCGAACAAGCAACTTGGGCTTAGAACGTTCTTTTAATAAGACAAAAGTGTAAATAACCTAGTACTGCTAAATTACCACATGTTTTGAACACAAGAATACCTCAAATCTGCTATTTCAGACCACTGTAAAAATCCCATGATGGACTGGGACAATGAAAAATAGTAGGAAGAAGAAGAGATGGATACAAGGACACTGGACCATTGGATCACACTTGGGACTCACTTCTGATCAGAGACACTTCAAATCATCAAGCTTCGATCTTGTTTTTATCTTGATCTTAAAAATGTTTAGTCGCCGAAGACAACCGCAGAAACATGTCATAATTAAGCAGTACTAGCATTGTTAAACTTTTGTCTTTTTATATACATATACATCAACATTATAACAAACAAAATCTTATGTAACTTTGCATGTGCTGAGTCATGTTTTGGTTTCACATTTGAAATTGAGTCACAGTTTTGACAGATTTTCAAAGTTTCACATGCATTTGCTTTAATATGCTATTTTGTGTTTTAGAAATCATGGGATATAAAAACACAGAGAAGCGTTAAGAGAGGGTCAAGATTGGTAAAACTAGCATCCAGTGGTAGAAGTGGTATATTATTATAATTTTATCATACACTTTTTTAATCAATAAAAACATCTATGCCAGGGTTAAACAGGGTTTATTCCCAAGAACGTCATTACATTTGAAGTTGACTGATATTTAAGACTAAAGGGGATTCCATATTTGTACATACATGTTACTCTGTATAGTCAGGATACCATATTTGCTTGAAAAGATCAAAATATTGTACAAATGATGCTTTTTAGAAACAATGTAATGTAACAAAGCACTTGTCTTTCACCTAATTTATCAGATGTATTGTTTTACTAAAACTTGTGGAGGTGCAACATGTGTAAATATTGATCAATAAACTGACTCAAAGCTAGACTCATGAAATTGTTTCACTGTTGAATCCAATATTTGTTAAGCTCACTCATAGAAGTTATTGCATGTGATTGTCAGTAACACAAGAGGTGATTCAGAGCCCCCTAGTGGCCACACAAGGGGCCATAACATACAACATGGCGGTGTGAGAGTGGTTTGCACCGTTAGCTACTCAGTAAGAAGGTCCTGGGTTTCAATTCAACTTATTTGTATATATTTAAATATACTGTAGAACTAGTTATCTCAGAGGACTTTACAAAGCTATTAATTCGCCAACACGGATCAGAGAATGAAACAGTTCAAACACAGGAAATGCAAAGATAAATGCACAGGTAAGTAAGGGGCAGAGACCAATGTCCATAAATGCTGTTGTCCTGCAGTGTCTAGATTATCACGACTGTCCTTAACAACTCTACAACTGTAAAAACCCAGTGGGACAAAAGTGACCAATGTCCATAAATCCCCACAGTTCCCTGGATCTGCTCGCATGGACAGAAAGGCTGTAGATCCAGGAATCAGATTCTTCTAGTTTCCTCCGGGTGCTTCGGTTTCTCCTAGCACATGTTGTTTCCTCCAGTCCTGATAAAGCCGAGTATCAACATCTGGAGATCATCATACTGTGGGGCTGCTTTTCTTCAGCAGGGAAAAGAAGAGTGTCAAGAGTTGATGGGTGGATGTTTACCTTCCATCAGGGCTTTGTTCCTAATCATAAAAACATTTCATACAATGGAATGGATTAAAACAAAATACAAAGCATGTGTGAGAATTTCCCAGTCCAGACCTTGATCCAATCCAAAAACTGTGGCAAGGTCTTAAAAAACAGTTATTCACAAATACTCTTAATGCAACACCGCTTGAGCTGTTTGGCAAAAATGTATGGGCAGGAATATCATTCTCTAACTGTACAAAGCTGTGATAACTCTCAGGGGCCCATGAAGTCGCTCATTTCCTCGATACACAGATTGATCACCTCTGCACCTCTTGTTTATAGAATGTGCTATATAAATCATGTGTCTGGGGTTAGATTGGACACTCAAATCCCACGTGCTGTCATATCAGGCATAGTTTTTATTTTGGCCCCAACAATCTCTCGTCAGCTCCGTCCAGGGATTTCAGATGGAAGTGTTTGGCACAGCAGTAAGTGGGGATAGAACTAAGATAGAACTGGTTCACTTTGCAACAGAGCAGCAGCAGATGGAGAAACACGACTACATCACTGGAAAAGTAAAGAAAGACTCATCTCACCAGTATTCACTAATAAGTATTTACAGTAAGAAGCATGAATACAATATTATGTAAAAAAAGCCGTGGATGTAAGTAAAAGTGGTGCCTTTTGCTTCCAAAATGGATTTAAGTATTTTAGTCAAGGACATTGCATTAGCGATGGCAAATACGAACTGCAATATTAGCAAATAAAAACTGCATT